AAAAGGTAATACGAATCATTCCATGAATTTTTTGAAGATCCTGTGTATATACAGCTTAATTCAATCATAACCTCTGCTAAAGGAATCCCTCTAATTCTATATATTTCTGTGATACTTTGGCAGCTTCATTTTATCTATAGTTTCAGTATTTTAAGGTTTTCTTGAATCTTAGTTTTCATAATCCATAAATCTGATAAAAGTTGTCATTTAGGTTGCCAATAAATATGGTGAGTAATAAAGGATTAAATACAGAGCTTCATGGTTCCCTCTAGGGAGATGGCAGTCAACATTTTCTGGTTACAACCATTTAATCAATAATACATTGACCTAATTATAGATCTCCATCTCTCTACTTTGCCCCAGGATACTACAACAGACTATCAAACACCTTGCTGAAATACAGGTACACAGTGAACAGAGGTCACCCTCCCTGACTTCCTAGGCTAGTGAGACTACCAAATTACAAAACATTCTTCATTTAGCATGACTCATTCTTAGTGAACCTATAATTATTGATCCTGATCTAACTGTTAAGCACACAATTCTTAGGCATACCGTGAGGTATACCCTGAGGTACACAGAGATGAAACCTTGGGAAAACCTGTATGAATGCTGGAATAGGAGAAACAGATGGGAAGGAAGAAAGACCTAGTATGTAATTTCTTACATAGGCTATTGGCTACATGTAAGCTGGCGTTAGAAGACACATCTTCTCCAAAAGCTGAGGAGAGAATGGTGTGCAAAACAGAGAAGGACTCTAGGGGTGTCCTGTTGTAGCCTGTACCATGGGCATTTTGTTGGACTACTTTGTCCAGCCCTAATGATGGGATATCTCTCATCTGGACACACTTCCTCAGAAAGCTGCAGCAACTTACGTCTCTCCTAGGAAAGGTACTCAGTAATTTGAACTCATCCCATGGAAATCCTTTGGAAGCTACGAAATCAAAGACAATCTGGAGCTTATTGCTGGCCAGGAAACGCCGCTCTAGGAACTCGCCACTGGGGGTCCGGATCCGCAGTTTGCTCACGGGCTCAGCATTTTCTTCTTTTGGCTCTGGAGGCAGGGCTTGCTCTAAGGAAAGCCGAATGGCCTAAGGAGAGCAAAAACCAGTTGTTAAAATGTGAGAATGGATGTAACTGTAGGGAGTGGGGGAGGGAGAGACAAAAAAAAGCTGCTGCTTTTAGAAACTCATCCCAAATTCACTGCCCCATTTATTTTATTTTATTTTATTTTATTTTTTTGTCTTTTTTCGTGTCCGGCAACGGACCGCAACCCTCATTGTCGCGCCCGTACCGGACCGGGACCGGCAATGGGATCGCAACCCTCAGTGCTACGCCCGCCCCTCGCTCAGCCAGTGAGCGGAACCGGTCCATACATGGGATCCGAACCCTCGGCGGGAGCGCCTCTGCGCTCCCAAGAGGCGCACTGTAGCAGTGCGCCACCGGGCCGGCTTACTGCCCCATTTATTAACCAAGGCTAATGCTTGAGCAGTAGAATCATATGTTTTTCATTTTCTTGATAATAGCCCAATAGGCAATTAATTAAAATAAATCACACCTTGATGACACATATTATTAAACTGATAGGTAACTACATAGAAAAGAAAGATGTCTTTTCTCTTAAAGGGCTCAGATACTTGTGATTGAGGAAATAGGCATCAAATACCCAATTGCTTCCTTTCTAGGGTATGAAATAAGGCTAGTAGAAGCATTCACAAAAGACACACAAACATATTTATATTTAAGAAAACGTATTTCTCAAAGTAGAAATGACTGAAGAGTTTGTAGAATACTTGATAATATGTTAACATCAAAATGGAATGAAGAGATTCTGTTTGGGGTGAAGAAAAATTTTGAAAATAGTGGTGATGGCTGGGCAATACCGTAAATGTAATTACTGCCACTGAATTATACACTTAAAAACGGCAAATTTCTGTCATATATATCTCGCACAATAAAAGAAAAGTTAAAAAAAAAATGGAATGGAAAGAAATCCAAATATTGGGTTTATTGGAAGCAGGAGAGTACACTTAAAAACGGCAAATTTCTGTCATATATATCTTGCACAATAAAAGGAAAGTTAAAAAAAAAATGGAATGGAAAGAAATCCAAATATTGGGTTTATTGGAAGCAGGAGACCACAGTCCTAGTTCCAACTTTACCACTAACTAGCTATGGGATTTGGCCAAGTCTCAGAATGATAGATTTCTGGAGCTAGAAACAAACTAAACCCTTCATTTTACAGATGAGATTACAGACTCAAACAGTAAGATAAACTGCCGGGATATCTCATGGCTAGAGTTGGGCTTGAACCCAGGTTTCCTAGTTCGCAATCTATAGTATTTCATTGTTTCGAATTTGTGACATTCCACTGGAAGGAGGTTAGAAGGTCTCCGAGGTCCCTGCCCACATTAGAATTGATGGCAGAAATTCACTAAAACCTTTTTGTCGCTAGCACCCTGAGAAACAGTTCATATCAAAATCTGTGAGATTCATCTAAAGCAGTGCTCAGAAGAAATTCAAAACCTTAGAGTTTTCATATCATTAAAAATCAAAGAATAAAAATAAATGAATTAATAATTAGACTCAAAAGTTAGGAAAAAAAGAAACCCCAATAAAACAAGTGGAAGAAAAGCTGAGAACAAAATAAATATTAAAGCTAAAAGCATAAAGAAGTAAGTTAGTTAAAAATGAAAAACATAACTAGTCAATCAATAAATAAACTAGTTCTTTGGAGAAAATCAAATGAACTTACACAAATAAAAAGAAACAAAAATGGTAACATATAGAGGGTGGGGGAAACAGGTTGGAAGAGGTGACAGTGAATATTTTCTGAATATGCTTTTTTATTTTTGATTTCCGACTTATGTGAATGTATTATCTGTTTAAAAATATGTTTTATATAAACAACAGAAAAACAAAGTTTGCTCAGACTTGTACATGGATAAAAAAACTAGTTAATTTTTGTGTCATTCAGGGTTGGCTGTAATCCTGAAGTATTTTCAAAAAAGCATTCAAAATTTCTGCAGTGTGTAGAGAATTTCTGACTTTGACACATCATTTTTCCTTCTGGAGGCACTGGATAATACCACTCACCTCATAACAGGTTAGAGATGGAAATTATATAACTGATATATGTATAGTTCTCAGGGTGGTGTGGACAACATAATAGGCTTTAGTGAATGGTTGCTTTTGTTATAATGAAAAGCAGATCTACAGAGAAGACCTGGAAGGTGATGCATTTGACAAATAGTCCTATGCTCTCATTTTTTTAAATGGGGAAATTAATACCCAGAAATGCAGACATAAGAAATATAGTTCAAAAATCAGAAGAATAGGATGTTAAACCAGTCACTTTTGCCTTTTATTTTTTTTTGATAGCATGAGTGGATATTTATCTAATATTGGTGGTCTAAGGCAGTAATAAGATTCAGCTGAATAAACTATTTTAATAACACTATAATATGTTAATATCCATCCAATGAATGGGTGGATCTGTGTTTATTAAAATTAAATGCCACTTGTACTATGTCTATTATAGTATTCGCTATACTGTACTATAGTTATTTGTTTAATATCTGGCTTTCCCACTAGCCTGCAAGCTCTGTAAGGGCATGGGAGCATGTATCACTACTTATTCCAAGTATAGTGCATTAGCAAAAAGTAGATGCTCAATTACCATTTGGTAAAAGAAGGAATAAACTAACAAGCTAACTGAAATAATGCATGTGAAAGTGCTTAGTATGATGAAAGGCACATAGTAGGTGTTCAGCAAACACTAAAAGAATCTGAATTTCATGGCTTCTACTTCTAGTAACCAAGAAGTGAACATCCTGACTCTCCTTTCTCTGAGGTCTGACACCTTCTAGCATCAACTGTTCAGATTAATTTTCTGCCTTATGTGTCCCTTAAGGACAAACCATGAGTGGCTTGTAGGAATAAACCTCTGCAAATTAAATACATTTTTTAAACTATTAATGGGATCATCTTTTTCTCAGTAACATTGGTAGTTCTTTAAAACATATCTTTGAGATTAAAAATAATTTTTCCTAATTATAAAAGTGTGTAATATACATTCATTGCAAAAAATAGAATAAGAAAATCATTAAAATTAACCTGTAGATTCATCACTAAGATGCCATCAGCATCACCAAGTGTTTATATCCATTAATTTTTAAAATCATTTTAACCATTTTTAAGCATACAACTCAGTGGCATCAAGTACATTCACAGTGCTGTGTGACCATTACCACTATCTATTTCCAAAACTTTTTTTTATCACCCCAGATATTTTCCATTAAGTTTTCGTGTATATTTTTATATAAGTATATATTTTCAACTTTTTACAAAATTTAAATCAGTGTTATATTATATAAAGCTTTTTTTTGTTCAAAGTCAAATATTTTGTAATTGTTTTTAGTTATTAAAGTACAACATACATATGAAAAGTATACAAAAGTGTACGACTTGATAATTTGTCAAGGAAGTCAACATACCTGTAAAATTAGCACCCTGATAAGTATCTCAGAAGCATTCCCCCTTCCTGAGAAGTATGTCCCCTCAAAGTCAATCACTATCCTGACTTCTAAAAGTGCAGTTTTAGAAACTTTAATTAAATGCAACACTATAATTAGAAACATGCACTTTGGGGTATGACAGATATAGGTCCAAATCCGGGCAATTAGGTACATGACAATCTTTATAAACTTCAGCTGCCTCATATAAAAAATAAAGAAAGAAATCTTCCTCACAAGGTCCCTGTATAAAATGCAGTAAGGTTTTCAAAACACTTAGTAAGTGCTGATACATGGTCAGCACTCAAATAATGACAAGTGCCTAGCATCAATCATCACTGTGATTAACAGATGGCAGTTGTTATTGCTGTTATCATTGTCGTTATGATTACTCCTTTGCACCTACTTTAAATCAGAATTTAATGCAATATTTTCTGGTTTCCCCTTCTGCTCCTCCCTTTAATCCACCTGTCTGCTTGCTTTCTATTTTGACATTTCCCTGCACAGTAATAACAACAGATGCTACATTATTGTCTGAACTCAGCCAATTATACTACAGAAAAATAAACAACAGTAGCTCATTACGCCATTCATTGTATAGACAATGTCTGCTCCTCAATGTCTGTAGTCTCCAGGGCTTTTCCCCAGAATGAAAACAGACCTCAGATATCCCACACCAATGAACGAATGTGGAAAACAATGAAGAGGTATCAGGTAAGTCAGCAACCTTGGGATCTGAATACCCAACAGTTTTACTGGCAGAAAGAACAAAAATATATCAGTAGCTCAGATTCAAATATACTGGCTAAAAGCAAAGGCCTCGTGTAAGCAAACATTGTTGTAAAACAATGACATAAAGGACACCCACACTCAAACAGCAGTCATAGTAAACACCATTGTTAAACTTCAATTTGGTTTGCTCAATAAATATGGTTTTCTATTTGCATTATTTTAGGTTTGTAATAAAACAAGGAAACTGGTATAAGTTAGAAATATAAATTGATCTTGGACTTTTTTTTTTTAACCAAAAATATCTGAATACTTAAAGCATTCACATCTGAAGGATGAGAAATGGGGACATTTTTTGAAGGGAAATTAAGCAGTGAAAACAGATACCCACAAAATACAGATACCAAAAAAGTTTCTACACAACTGCATTTTTTAAACAGAAAGAATAATATACACTTACACCAAACTCTTAACAATAAGAATCAAAGACTGGCTCAATTCACTTCACACACACACACACACACACACACACACACACACACACACACACACACACACACA